TTATAACAATGATGATAAAATACGATTATGTGTCCTGCTTCACTGTTAAAGGACTGCATGTAAATTGTTTCAAAGGTAATAAAGAAGTTATAGCAGATGGTTATTATCTTTACATGCTTTTAGTGTTCTGATTTTTTTTCCGACCCTTCTATACATACATATATATATTCAGAAACAACCACAAGTTTATGTCTCTGTTACTGACTTTATTTCAGTAATAGAAATGTTAATATTTGTTTGTGTGTAAATGTGTTCCTCTAAAGCATTGCATACCTAATGTATGTTTGATAAAGAATTTCTCCCTTAAGATACATTAAAGTATATATGTGTGACTCGACCAAGTTTATTTCACAATGAACATCGCCAATTTTAGTAACGCCTTTTTTAGAAAAGGCAAACAGAAGCGTGACTAATTTAATCGTCTGTCATATCTGTATTATACAAACAGAAGCGTGACTAATTTAATCGTCTGTCATATCTGTATTATACAAACAGAAGCGTGACTAATTTAATCGTCTGCCATATCTGTATTATACAAACAGAAGCGTGACTAATTTAATCGTCTGTCATATCTGTATTATACAAACAGAAGCGTGACTAATTTAATCGTCTGTCATATCTGTATTATACAAACAGAAGTGTGACTAATTTAATCATCTGTCATATCCGTATTATATCACTCTGCACACACACACGCACGCAAATAATAATTAAAGGCTGGTTCTTATTGGATAATTTAATTCGTGCATCAGTGATATATGAAAAAGTTTTTATAGGCAGCAGTAGACTGTGGTAGTATTATTTGATACATTTCAACGCTTCGGATAACTTTCCCTGAATACAGGTGACAGAAGTTGCCCGAAACGTTGAAATTTAAAGAATAATAGGAATTTGTGATATTATAATTATGACATGGTAAAATCATATTATCATTAAGTACTGTAGTACTTAATAGTAGGGATCGTGATAAAACAAAATGACGGCCATAAAAATCGCCCGTTTAAAACCACCTTTAAGATGTCTGAATATTAACAATGACTATTTCACAGTATTGGCTGAACAAAACTAAAGCTTATTATGCTTATAAAGCCGCTTAATTCACTATATACGTGTTTATGGAGTGAATCAAAATTTCACTATTTCAACGAATATTCATCTAAGTCGGTAAGTAAGTGACTTTTCCAGACATGCGTACAGAAAAAATGACGAACCTTATCGCTCTATTTTTTCACAGAACTATTCCGTCTGGGGTCCCAATGATTCCTTTCTTGTACCGAAAAAGATACTAGAATATATAAAACGGATGATGCGCTACTTTGGGCATACAATTAGATTTCAGGGTAGATTGGAAGAGATCTTCATGAGCAATAAAATATAATGGGGTATACACGCGCCCTACACTTTGTATTGCTGGCGCACAAAAATATAGATAATAAAAGGGAAACAAACAAGTACAATAAATAATTTGAAATTTTATAGAGACAAATAGGGACAGACATATACGTAAACTAGCTGGCTATAGTAATATAGAAAGTTTTAATGCTACAAAAAGTATTTAAACAAGAAAGTCAAAACTATAAAAACTGAGTTACTCAAAACTTAATTTTTTTATCTCTACTTTGGCTGAAACTAACGTAATTAAAGTGATTTTTTCCAGAGTATAAATAAATGTTTTTAAATGTTAAGTAACTCATTTTCTGTAGTTTTGACTTTCTTGTTTCGATACTTTTTATAGCATCAAATCTTTCTATATTACTATAGCTAGCTAGGGTACGTTTATATCGATCCTACTTGTCTTTAGAAAATTTAATTACTTTATCATACTTGCAAAATAAACACCAATCACTATTTGCAGCCCACTGATATGCAAATATGGACTGAAATGTAAATATTTGGTTTTTATGCTATATGTTTTTACATACTAGGAGATAAGTAGATACCTGTTCTGGAAATAATGATACTATTTTATCAAATAAACTGACAGGAAACAAAGGATACAAGATTATTATTTGTATTTAATGGATCTACTCCTGGCAGTATTAAAGGCAGAAACGCGGTCCATAGAAATTGTTTTTTGTTGCGTTCTTTTTTTTGCTACGCTTTCGCAGGGATCTATCGAAGATGGACCGTGGATACTCGACAGGGTTCATATCCGGCGAGTTACTTGACCTTAAGAAAGTGGTAATGCCCTGACCTCAAGCCATCATTTAGTGGCTCGGGCTGAGAGAGGAGGAGCCCTAAGTTGTATTATGATACTGCCTTGTGTGGTAAGCTGATCGTTACCAACAGAAAGAAGATGTGAAAACTATAGAAGAATAAAACTGGTGGAGTATCTGCTGAAAGTGAAAGAAAAGAGAATATGGGACATCGTAGACATCGACGAAATACAGTTTGGGTTGCGGTCTGGGAGAGGAAAAATATACGCAATCTTCATTCTGTGATAGTTTTAGAGAAGTACGTTGAAGGAAATAAGAAGTTATACCACGCATTTGTAGTTTTGGAGAAAGTGTTTGAGCAGGAGTTACAAACGCAACTTAAAGTGTGGCAGAAGAGTTTGGAAAGAAGAGGCTTGAAACTGGGAAGTGCAATCCGAAATGAAGAGATGGACTCCAGGCGGGTTGGAAGAAATAAAAGGAAATAGCCACAGTCATCTGTGGCAAAAGATTAGCAAGGGCACTGAAAGTCAAAGTGTATAAGACCGTGATTAGACTGGTGATCCTTTACGGAACCGAGACCTGCACCCTAAAGAAGAAAGAAAAAGGGTTGTTGATAAGAGCAAAAATGAGAATGCTGATATGGCTGATAAAAGTGTAGCTGAAAGAGAAGAGAACGAATACCTAAATTACGGAAATGGCAAGAGTCTGCGGATTCGAGAAAAAAGGCAAGAGAAGGGAGGATGAGGTGGTTTGGTCACGTGAAGAGAAGAAGAACAAACAATAAGGAGAGCATTAGAACTCTCAGTAGCCAGCAAGAGAAGACAGGGAAGGCAAGTAAAGCGTTGGAAGGATGGAATCAAAGAAGATATGAATGAGAAAGGAATCGCAGGAGACCTGGCAATGAACAAAGATGATTAGAGGAAGGCTACACCTGTGGATATACGGATACCCCTGTTACAGAGAAAAGCCAAAGAAGAAAAAGAGGATAAGAAGTGGTAAGCTGGTCATTGACGTAGAACAGTGGCTTCCGTGTAGCTATTTTATCATTGTAGCCCATACTATGAAGGCAACTTTTGATGTTATTAGGACATTCTTACCATTGTCCTGCAACACTAGCGGACATTGTTATGAAGACAACTTCTGATGTTATCAGGACATTCTTACCATTGTCCTGCAACACTAGCGGACATTGTTATGAAGACAACTTCTGATGTTATCAGGACATTCTTACCATTGTCCTGCAACACTAGCGGACATTGTTATGAAGACAACTTCTGATGTTATCAGGACATTCTTACCATTGTCCTGCAACACTAGCGGACATTGTTATGAAGACAACTTCTGATGTTATTAGAATATTCTTACCATTGTCCTGCAACACTAGCGGACATGTTATGAAGACCGTGATTACATCCTGATTGGCCGTGATTATATCCTGATTGGCCGTGATTATATCCTGATTGGCCGTGATTACATCCTGATTGGCCATGATTATATCATGATTGGCCGTGATTATATAATGATTGGCCGTGATTATATCCTGATTGGTCATGATTATATCATGATTGGGTGTGATTATATCCTGATTGGCCGTGATTATATCATGATTGGCCGCGATTATATCCTGATTGGCCATGATTATATCATGATTGGGTGTGATTATATCCTGATTGGCCGTGATTATATCCTGATTGGCCGTGATTATATCCTGATTGGCCGTGATTATATCCTGATTGGCCGTGATTAT